CATATCATATTCAGAATTAGCATTGAGTTTTGCATCTAATGGTGCTTGATTTAAAAGAATTCTGAAGAAAAAAATTTTCAGTGATGCTGGGGTCCCCCACAGGTCCTGAATGACCTGATGAAAAATGAAAGTCGTTTTTCGATAGAAAAAAGGACATCATTTTACTCAGAATTTCATGCTGATTTCGAATATGTAATTCTTTTTGAAAAACATTTTAACAAAAAACTGACCTTTTTGCTACTCATCCTTTCTTTTTCAAATAATACATTTATTATATTGAAAAGCAAGTAGAGAAATAGTTTAGTCTTCTAGAACTTTGTAGGACCAACATTTTTCACAAAAGAATATCTGTGAAATCTTTTTTTTTAGAAAAAAATTTAGTTTTTTCTGGTCTTGCTAAATTTGACTGAGATTATACATTTACCCCACTTGTGCCAGCGCGATTATACATTTACCCCAAGTGGGGTAAATGTATAGAAAATTTTTTATTTGAGCTCTCTGAAAAAAATCTGTTGAAACTTAATATTAAGTACAAAAATATTTCAAATAGTCTAATATGATAGAGAAAACCTTAGCCTATCCATTCGTGAAAAAATTTTCTTAAACCAACAAACAGATCATTTATAAATGTGGTTTTACTAATCAAGCCAAAAATAGCTGAGATTATACATTTACCCCACTTGAGCCAGCACGATTATACATTTACCCCAAGTGGGGTAAATGTATAATGCTGATGGAGGTCTCGGGAAATCCATCACCACTACGTTATACTGCAAGATTTTTGAAAACTGATTTCATAGATAGATAGAGAAGAAACTCCTCTACATAGTTTGTGAAGAAAGTTTTTTGAAATATTGAAAAATAAAAAAGATATATAAGTTATACAAGGCATGTTCGATTTTTACTATACATTTACCCCATCTGACTCTATATCTTTTACAAGTCTTTTATTTTTCTTTTTGACATTTATTGCATATGCATCGATCTAAGGGTACCTAACGAATATTTAATTTTTTTTCAAATAAACCTTACAATCGTAGTTAGAATACGTTGTTTTTAACTTATTAAAATATTGTCTTTCAATCAATATGTAAACTTTTCACATTGTTACAAATAAATAATTGATGAAAATTTTCATATTAGAATCGAAATGAATATGTAGTAGAGTGTCAAATATTACAGATAATATATTTTCGTAATCAATTCTAGTTGTTACTGATATTTTATGACTATAAATTAATATTTGTATTGAACAATGCAATAGATTAAAAAAAAATCAGAAATACATTAAACATTTACATTCTTTTATTTTCTTTAGATAAATTTATTTTCGATTGAATTTTAAAAATTATTTCAATTTACAAAACAAGTTTAATAGAAAATTAATGCGAATTCCAAGAAAAAAAATATTACAGCCGTAATTATGTTAAGATCTTGAAGTATTTTATGAGATTAGGCAATGATAAATGAATAAATGAACAATAGTTTCAATTATATTATTTATTTTATTAGCAAAAATGTTTTCAAAATGCTTTACATTCTGAGGGTGTGGGGGTGTGTGGATATTGTCTCCACTACCATCCACACCCACACTCTTAATGTCAGTCATCCAATGTACACTCGCATTCACACCCATACCCACATCCCACCTAGAGCCCTGCAGGGTGCTCATAATCTGCCCTGCCCTGTCATGTCCTGTCAGGGCAGGGCAGGACAGGTTGCAAAAGTAGCAGGGCAGGGCAGGACCAGGTTACAGAATTTTTACAGGGCAGGTTACAGGGCAGCACTGTCATAACCTGTTAACCTGCTATTAATTTGTCGAATCAAATATTATAGACATCTTTTGAAAAATTTTACACGAAGAAGAATATCTGAGTATAAAACGACCTAAAGTAGGAGAACTGATAACTGAATCAGATTGGTTGTAATAGTATTCAACATTAACATATGTTGTTAGTGTATTCTCTACATATAGGCCTATTTAGTTGTACATATCATTTTCTAGTATTAACATTTAAATAACTGTTTTCGTTTTAACTATCATCATTAATATCGAAACTTATGCAAGAATTTGCAGGGGAAATTGATGAAGGTTATGCTGATAATTTACATGAAATTGATCGTTATATCAACAGAAAGCTTTATTTTTCAAAAGATGATACTTTATTACGATGGTGGAACAAGCATTCTTTAATATTTCCATAACTTTCTCTATTGGCAGTCAATAAAAGATATTCATAATGAATGTTAATCTATTGAGGGAACATTTCACGATACAATTTTACCAGATAACAGAGGATAAAGCGATTCTTCCATATATTATACGCTTAAGCACTTAGAATCTTCCTACGTCCTTTTGTGAATAATTCCTTCTTTGCAGTTCCTGCAAGCTCAGCTACATCGAAAGGTATTTTCAGTTCTTCAGGTCGAATTTTGGAAAAAGAAGACAATCATTGAAACCGGGCGTAGTTGATGATATTTTAATGATTAGAAACTTTCGGGAAATTTAGTATTATTTTTATTTGCTTTAAATTTGAAACAAATTCAATGAAATAAACTTACAAAGTCGATGAAAAGTTATGAGTTTTTTTGTTATGTCAAACATAGCAGGTCAGGGCAGGGCAGGTTACAGGTTATGAAAAAAGTCTCAGGGCAGGGCATGCAAAAAAATTCACAGGGCAGGGCAGGATGAGGTTGCAGAATTTTTACAGGGCAGGTTACAGGTTACGAAAATTCTGCACCCTGCAGCCCTCTAATCCCACCCACACCCACACACCCGCACCCACACCCCATGTAGAACAACATCGTAAAATAACGAACAGCAATCTGGATGACGAGAAATATGAAAATGAAGATGAATATTGAACAGTATTTAGTTGTAAAAGAACTGTAGTTTTTATTTTTACATACTTTTTAATAATGAAACGCGTTTTTTTTGTTGGTAAATAATCTGGTGGTTGAATCAGTTACAGAAAAAAGAAATAGTTCGAAGTTCAACAAAGCTTTAGTAGGTATCAGTGGTTGCTGACGTTAATCTTAGCCACATATCAAGAAATGCTTGCAAAGCATTTCCTAGGCCTCTCTCAAAACTATGTCTAATGAATTTCTCATATTTTTTTGCCTAGATAATGTCGAAAAGCTAAATTTTGAATGAAAATTTCTCTTGGAACTAAAAAAAGATCTGGCTGTTCTGAGGTATAGTAAAAGAAAATGCTGTAGTTCACTAACAAAAAGCACTTAAGAAACGAGCATGTGTAACTTTTATCTAGAAGTTATGGTGAATCTAGTAATGCAAAAATATTGGCTCCAACATTGTTCTGGAGAGGGCTGAAAATTTTGGCGCACAAAAGATTGCATTTTTTCCATACTAAAATTGTCATTGATTTTGGTCCACTAAGAGTAAACTTCTATAATTAGAAAATACGTTTCTTATATCAGTTTTAGTTGTAGTTTTATAAGAAAAAAAAATTAAGACTCTAGCTCTTACGGCTTAGGAATTACAAGGTCTTTTCCGGTAACATAGTGATTTTCTCGACTTCCCGATTTTGTCGATTTTTTGAACTTTTTGGACACAAAAAGGAACTTTCTCTGAATAAATCATACATATTCAGATTTAGCACATCAAACTACAGCTACATATGCAAAAAAATCGAAAAAAATAAGAAGTGTTGAAATTTTGAATTTCCGGAACCTTAACATCTTTTGCCGCTGCACGACGTATTTCAATTAATTGACCAATAAATGGTACAAATGGTTCATATGATACACCTGATTACGAAATATATCATAGAAACGTTTTTGTGGACGAACTAATTTTCGATACATAAAGAACAAAATACAAGAAAATAGTGTGAGAATAATTTGTATAAGCAGGAGTAGAACCATGTTAAACGTAATTAGAGTTCTCGAGAAATGCAATACTATACTATCAGACGATAATAACAAAGCAATAAGTTAGTTTTTTTTCTTTTTCTTCTATGCGAAAGCAATATTACGTCGCCTAAACACGATAATGTTATTGGTAAAAGAATAGGAAGAAAAATAACGCATTTTGTTTT